ATAAACAGCATTTCTGTGTTTTTCTCTTTTGTTCCTACTTCTCCCCTACCCCCAGCAGTCTATAGCTAACCATGTCACCCTCTTCCTGTCCTCAGAGCATGAAGCCACGCCCCAGCCCCACCAGGCCCCGCCAACCTGGAAGTGACCAGTCCAGCATCCAGTTAGCCAGGTTCATTGACCGTGCCTCCATGATCTTCTTCCCCGTTCTCTTTCTGGCTTTTGTGGCCGGATATATTCTTGTCTATCAATAGACTTTGTTACAGATGAAGGCTCCAGCGGGAAAAAACCCAGATAAATCATAATTTTTTTAATGGGTTGTTGTTTTTTTTCTTGTGGCTTAAAAAAAATGTGTCCTTCTTCCCCGAAATAGTCCGACGGATAACCTAGCCAAGTCCTGTGCTATAAAGGGTAAAAGAAGGGCTATACTGACTACGAAATACAACATTTCAAAATGCGAATTACCATTTTCTCAACTTTCTTAAATTGTGATTTATCTGGGTTTTTTCCACGGAGGTCTTCAGAGAGATTTTCCGTCAAAGGATTACGACTGAAACTGAAAGCATTCACTTGTCTGTCATTTAAATAAAATATATGACATACCAGCGAATATCTATAGATTATGACGTAATCCGTTTGTGGTACAGCAGTTGGGAGCTTCGCAGTCGCGCACAAAATATTCGAGTTCCATTTCCTAGAGGAGAGAATTTCTATCGCATATACCCATCTGCTGGGATGTTGTACTCCTCTCAGTCGGGGTTAGCCCTGGTGGGCAGGGTCGATCCTCACCTCCTAAATGACCTTAATTGTGTCGATGCTGTGTTAACAACACCAGAGAGCAAAACTATTAAATAGGTCATGCTCCCTGTCTTAAGATTATGTTACAGGTGGCTTCTTGTCAATATAACATTATGTCACATGATGTTACTTTTTATCCATAGATAATGACAAAGATAAGCGTTCTGTGAATAGCTTATGAAACCAACTACATGCTTCTCTGTCATTAAATTACAACATAGGCTTTATGCTTCTCTGAAATTAATTTACGTCACAAGCTACACCCTTCTCTGAAAATACCACAAGATGTTCACCTGTCTGCCAGTGCATTATGACATTGGCTACATGCTTCTCTGACTAAGTGACGTAAAAATATTCGCTTCTCTACCAGTACATTGTGGCATATACTGCTGGCCTCTCTGACAATAATTTATAACACGGCATGGGATATGTCCTATATATCGATAGATAATAACAGAGATGATAATCTTAGGAGTAAAGAGGACGACTTTGATATAATGGTATCTGCCATTTAGTCATTTAGTACTGGGGAATAGCAAGACAGATAGAGAAAAACAACTGAAGGAAAGAAAAGAATTAAAACTACCAGTGCCATCCTCCAAACACCCACGACATAAAGAGATTGTCTGTCCGTACACTATGCCATAAACATTTTGATTGATATATTATGAAATCAATAGCTGAATTCTTTATTAATATTTAATATGAACAAATCTCGTAAAAAAAGGCATATTAATAAACCTCATAAAATAAATTCAGATAGTCTATTAATCTACAAATAACCCTTATAAAACAGGTATTCTTTGAGTTTATAAATAAACCGCACAAAACAGTTACATAGTTTCTGAATCTCAAAGTATATTATCATGAAACAGTTTGCATGTTGATCTGTAAAACTCTGTCATATAGCGATGCAGCTAAAACATAGAGAAGTGGTACGGCTGGACAAGACCATGGCCAACAAAGACCACTGATTTTTAATAATATCAAGTCTGAGAGACAAAGTGAGCATATACGAAATATAGCCGTGCAGTCCCGTCATTGAGAAGAATAGGACTGACGTGGTGCTAGCGTGTCGTAGGAAGTGACTAATTAAATGGCGAAACCAGGTAGTGACTCCTGGAACGGAGTAATCCTCCCTCCAGGTTGGGGGGTTGAGTCATGAGGCTAACAACCTCTCTAGTAAAGAGAACCTGTTGCAGAAACAGATACAAGCAAAAGCCTTTATCTCTGCTTGGCTGGTCGTGGATTTTCTCCGAATGGAGAGTTTATGATGCCAGGCAGTGAAAGCCGAAAGGAAGTTGCTGGGCAGAAGCCTCCACCATCATCCACAAGGAGGAGATGTGTGGAAAAGGACATGAGAGAGATGAAACTGACTTTGAACGAGCCAGGACGGATGGCCCAGGACAGAGATAAATGGAAGGAGCTTGTATGCGGCCTATACCCTCTGAAAGGTACTGATGATGATACGAAATAACTTTCTGCTCCTGTATTTTAGACCAAAAAGGAATCAGACTCAATGTCAGCTCTTCAAATGAAAAATAAAATGGCTTGTGTATATGTGACAATCACTATCACTGTGGTGTCTGGGTTGGGAGGGGTGATGAGGGTGTAGATGATGGGATGGAAGTGATGGGGGTAATGTAAAATAGCCCCCCTCCCTTCTAACCCAAATCAAATCCAACTTGAGGCGCATCACGACAATCACAGCCCACTATTCCCGTAAAATAGCTGTAAACCCCCGTAATATCCATAGTAACCCAGTGTGTTGCGCACTAGGTCACAATATTTGAAATGAGGGCGACGAGGGAGGCAGGGGGTTATTTCAAATTGACTTTTCGGGTGAGGAGAGACATTTCCCACAATTTCTATGCTCGCAATTAAGTTTCAATCAATCCATTGCACTGCTTACTTCTATAGATCCACACATTTTGCTTGACAGTAGAACGTATTGAATAACAGGTGCTTGAATTTTTCTGAATTTGTTGATTATTGGTTTGACATCTAATGTATAATTTTACCAGCTTGTTTTATTCTTCCTTTAGCTCAAATATGTATGTGATCAGCAGCCGTAGTGATAGTGATTGTTTTTGTGTGTCTGTATTCTTTTGTTAGATTACTGGCGTATAATAATATATGCATTTGAAAGGATTTCTGTACATTGAAAGGACCGGTATGCAAGAAGCACGCCACTGTGTCAGCTGTCAATTCTAAATTTTCATTTAATTGTAAAGCGCCCAGAGCCTCCAAGGAATGGGCGTTGCAAAAGTGATCACTGTTATTTCTTAGCATAGTTATTAACGTTCAAAAAGTTTCTCAGTTGGTCTCACAGATTCTCAGTTACGTGAAACATTTGTACATAATATGTAAAGCTATTTATATGTCATTTTGCTTTGATTTGTATGTATGCGTGTAGTGTTGTGAGTGTGTGTGCGTGTGTGTGCGTGTGTGTGTATGCATGTGTGTGTGTCCTTGTGTCAATGGCGAGGGAGTGAGGGAGAGATGTGACAGACGTATAGACGGAGACAGCGACAACGGGACTGACAGACAGACCGACTAAGACAGATGTACGAAGAAATAAAACCAGAGAGAGATAGTGAGAATGTGTGCGCATGTGTGTGTTAGCGTATGTGTGTGAGTGTGTGTGTGTGTGTGTGTGTGTGTGTGTGTGTGTGTGTGTGTGTGTGTGTGTGTGAGCGAGAAAGAGAAAGGGAGAGAAAGAGAGAGCGACAGAGAGAGAGCAAGAAAGAGATCAAGAGAGAGAGCAAAAGGGAGAGAGGGAGAGAGAGAGGAGAGAGAGAGAGAAAGAGAGAGAGCGACAGAGAGAGAGAGAGCAAGAGAGAGAGAGAGAGAGAGAGAGAGAGAGAGTGAGAGAGAGAGAGAGAAAGAGAGAGAGAGAGTGTGATCAGAATCTACAGAGGTGGAATAAGTCTGAGCTCGTTCACTCAATGAGAAAGGAAACAAAACGTGACGTCACACAATAAACAAAATGTTTTTACATCTTGTAACAAACGTTTTTGTTTTCCTTTTCTGTATTTTAGAAAATTTAATCTGCCTACTTTCTTGGTGATATGGAGAAAAATCTCATTGTTCATGAACGTTATTGTCGTGTAGATGTAGATATTATGCGCTATTAGAGAGGCCTAACGTGCTCACCCACCCCCTCCTTCTCCCCTTCTCTCTCCTTTGATGTCAAACACGTTTCGTTTGTGTGTGACGTCATCGTGGATTAAAATTTGGTGTTTCATCAAGACTTCTGTCTGTGTTGATTCAGTCTCCGTTCTCGTGGTCTAGAAACGAAAAAAAACCCTACCCCATGGCATAGGTTTAACGATCATATTATATAAATACCATTAGGTTATCTAAGAGGCGGCCTCATTCTCGGAGCTATGTGAAGATGTGTAATGTCCCGTGTGTACGTGTGTTGTGTCTCTTGTGGTAATGTATAGTTCATTATTATGTACATGTAGTGCCGTATCAGTAGATGTGTAACACCTCGCGTGTAATAAATGTGTTTTGCCTGGTATGTAGATGTATCTTGTCCTCACGTTAGTGTTTTAGCGCCTATAAAATGGCAGCTTGCATCGTCTGCTTCCCAGAAAGTTGAGGTTGTTTCAGAATGCCTTTAGGTCTGTTCAGGTAATAATATAGATTGTAAAACGAATAAAGCTAAACGTTGAGTGGGCATTAGCGCTTTACAAGTGCTATCATCTATTAGAAGTGTTGTGCCTTGTGTGGGGGCCCTGGTGGCCTAGAGGTCAAGGGGTTCGCCTCTCATTCAAAGGTCCCGGGTTCGAATCCGGGTAACGAAAGGAAACAATTCTTCTTTAAAACTGTCTCCTTTCATCTCCTTTCCTGCTCTCTGCCAATGTTCTATCGTCAGTTTTCGTCTCCACTTCCTGCCCCCACCCCCTCACCTCCTTTGCCCCCTCCCCTGGGCTCCTGGCTTTTCTGCTGTCTTTCTACTGCTACTACTTGGCTACTTCTTACTGCTGTCTTTCAGCCACACCCTTGATTTTCTCATAGAAAAGATCTACACCTAGCCTTCACGAACAAGGGCGAAAAATCTCGGAGGGCCCGTATGCAAGTTGCGCACGTTAAAGATCCCTTGGTGGTCCAAAATCGATAAGAGTAGGCTTCGGCCTCCACCCGGGCAAAATTCAAAATTTCCTACCAACTGAAAATGTTTGATGTGTCCCGCGCGTTCATATGACCTTATGCAGTTGCGAGCGCCGTAAAACACTTACCGAAAAAAGTGCCATGTGTGTGCATGTACATGTATTATGCCCTGTTTAAGTGCAGCTCCTCGTGTGCGAATGTGTTTTACCTAGAGTCTAGATGTGTAGCCCTATTTGACACAGTATATGTTCGATGCCCATATCAACAATGTTATGTCATTGAAGAGAGGCAGGACCTCGAAAGTCATTGTCTATCTCCGATAGAACCATACCAAGTATGTGCCACGCATGTACATGCATGTAACACACGTCACAGTCCTTGAGATTGTACTAAAAGTGATGGTATTGAAGCTAAATACAGTCGAACTTGCCCATAACGGTCACCCAAGGCCAAAGACAAAAATTACCACTGTAGACAAATTGTCGCTATGACAGGGTCAGGGTTATGACTAGATCTACTTACATTACAAAACTAGACAAAGTCACCTGATGGTTTAACTCTTTGCTTCGTTGTTTACAGACACAACCAAAATGTACAGTTTTCCAGAAAATTTGAATCCAAGTTATTTATAACCAGACTGTACCTTTATTGCATTGAACTGTCATTTCTATTTAGTATGCTGTTAATTTTAGAGAGAAGTGGATAAAAATCGTGGCTTCGTAATAGGGTGGAATCGCCTTCCGTATACACTTAAAACGACACAAGACCATTGTGAAAGAGTGCTTGAAGGAAATATGTGGGGCAGGAGAGCCAGAGGAAGACAAAGAGTAACATGGATGGACAACATATGAACATGGACAGGCCTGGATATGGCACAATGTGTAACGGCAGCTCGAGACCGTGAAGGATGGAGGGTCATTACACGTCAACCTCTGAGTCAGAGATGACACGTCCAAGTATCCAGGTATACAAAGAGTTTAAAATCTGAATTTTTTCCATTTCATTTTTATCAACATTGTTAACTATCACAAGAACTTGTTCACATTGCATATGAGTGACGAACACACTCATTCTGAGGACCAGATTGAGAAAAAGTAAGTGACCGCTAAGAACAGTTTTTAAAGCAAACTTTTCGTGAAAATGACTGGCTGTGGCTGCATTGGTCAGGCACCCATTGAGAATGGGTACCAGGCTGCAGACAGCGAAAGACCTTTTCGGTTTGTTAGTGTTAGAGCGCGTATAATCCGAAGCTTGCAGTTATGCTTTTTGTGAAGCCGAGAATGGTTTTAAGTGTTATCGGGTCTGTTGGGAAATAAAAAAGTAGACATTTATAATGATGAATAAAAGTATGGTTGGTCAGAGACATATCTGGGGGAGTAACACCATATTAAAACGGCGTATTTGGTAACAGATCGAGTTGTTTTTTCTTCGCTCTGTCTGTCTGTCTGTCTGTCTGTCTGTCTGTCTGTCTGTCTGTCTGTCTGTCT